AAAGTGCACACAAGCAGACCTGAGGCCTACCAGACACCCAGCAGCTACACTCAGCATACCTGTCAAACACAGGGGCCACACCTCTAAATATAAGCCACGCCTCTAATTTATGCCAGTCAGACAAATAGTAATCTCTGACCGGCACAGAAATCCCACCGTTTGGGATCGGCTGCTGTGGAGTTTTCAGGTGTGATTATAGAGACATCTGGTGGCTGAACTAGTGAATTGCAACCAAAAAACACTATATTAAAGTGAGCATGTGTTTTACATCACACAAGTAAATGTTTTTGATTAATGAAGATTAATTTAGAGTGTTTTTTTCTTCCATGCACTCCCCCCCAGAAGTTTGTAGCTGTACAGGGCACATATTTGTTGTCTGGGCCTTACTGACCTCATTATTTCATACAGCCTGATTAACCAGCGAGTTCATTACAACAGTTTAGTAAATAAGTCAGTGTGGTGCTCAGATCTCACGGCACTTACTTCTCCTTGGCCCGCCTCTTCTCCTCCAGGTGCCGGTAAGCCTCCAGACGAGATTCGGGGGTGAAGCTGCACGGTGTGTGCCAGAACTCGCGCTCTCTTTGCTCCTCATCCTCCTCCGGGTTCTTTGGGTTCTCGTTCAACTCCTGGTTCTCCTTCTCTGACTCTGGACTGCTGAAACCAGAAGGTCTTAGGTCATCGCTGAGTTTGTAAAGACAGTTTAGACTCTTCGATCACCTGAACTCATCAGGGTGACTTGTAAGTGTTGCTATGAATCACGTGAAGATTCCATAACAGACTTGACTCCCTGTAGTTTTAGAAAAAATTTAAGATGTTATCATCACTTATTGTTACTTTTCACGCCCTCTATCGCAGCTAGCAACACCTCTGACTGCCTAGAGCGCCTCTACATACGTGACATCCTCGTCAGAGGGCTTTAGTCCGCCTCAGGGACCAGGAAACTAAAGGAGAGACAGTGTTTGCAGTCTGAGCCTCAAAAATCAGCTTCTTCCAAAACAAATCTCTAAGTGTAAAGCAGATATGAGAGTGACTGGTTCCAATTAGAGGCTCATAAGCCAAATCTAGTCCACACAGCAAACATATTTGTCCCTTTTTTGCCCTCTTCCTCCTGATTTTAACTATTTCACTTACTTAACTTGAATATTCTGCTGTGTGAGACCAGATTTGTTCAACATAATCATGTGTATTAGCAGGGACGTTAATAAAAAGTGAAATCTTGTCTCACTGCAGTTTGGAATTGCAGCATCTCAGAAACTTTCTGTACAAGAGTAACGATTTGTCTTCTCACTCACACTGTGTTGTTGATGTCGGTGTACCAGCGGCCGTCAAAGCCTGGTTTCCTCTCCTTCTTTTCCTCCTCAACTCCTGCTTCCTTCCTCCTCGCCTCCTCTTTCTCCTCAGCTCTCCTCCTCAAGTATTCCTGCTCCTGCTCAGCGACGCGCCTCCTTGCCTCCTCCAGACCCTGCGAGGCTTGGATCCGTTCTGACCGGCTGATTTCCGTCCTGTCCAGACTCTGACGACACAGAGCGAGAGCTGGGACTCAAACTCTGAACCTCCATCAGGGTTTAAGCTCACAGCCTGACGACCAAACGGCTTTCAGTGGTCTTTAAACGACTGTCACACGTTTTTCTCCTGGAGCTTCACTGGCTGTTGCTTTCACTGAAGTGTTCTCAGCTCTGACCTTTTAACATCCGACTAACTGAATCCCTGCAGACACGTTTTAATCAAATACTTTGTCATCAGAATCTTCCATACGGAGCTCAGCTGCCTCAATCATAAGTAAAAAATAAGAAAACCCACACAAATAACAGCAGCCTCCACCTCTCTGGATGTAGACGAGGATCCACCTCAGACGTTACCTTGAGCTGAGGCAGTGCAGCCACCACAAACTGCCTGTAGCCCTCGAACTGCGTGCAGGGATTCCCCACCAGAAACAGCTCTCGGAGGTGGATGTTGTGTCTCAGGGACTCCACGCTGCTCAGGCGGCCCACGAAGTTCACCGTCAGGTCCAGTTTCTGCAGGCTCTCACAGCCTGATGAGCGGGAAGTGGGAACAGAAAGGCGACATGTTTACATGTTTACACGTTTACAGAAAAACAAGCGCTGAATTAAAGCCCGTACATACGCTATGCACTGACCTTCAAGGTTTTCAATGACTTCAATGTTGTTCAAGGCCAGATTCAAGTACTCCAGCTTCTTCAGTCGGCCAACATTTTCTAAACGAACAAAAACACAAAATCACAAAGTTCGTGTAGAGGCAGCTGATGACTTTTGAGAACAAAAGCATCTGTGTGAATGTTTTCCTTGGTAAGATGATGTGACAGCACATCTACATCTGACTGATGTCAGCTAAACTCCGCCTAAGTAGTAGTGGCCCAAACATAAATACCACAGCTGTTCTCAAGACTTCACTTTCATAGTAACTGGTGATATTTCAGTAAATAGACCAAGCCAACACTAAAATGCAGTCATTTCTTTCTTCAAAGGGTTCTACCCACGCTGAGGCCCGTCTCACCGATCCTGGGGATGAGGTTGTTCTGCAGGTAGAGGATCCTCAGCTCCTTGCACCACCTGTCGAGGTGTTCGATCCTCTCGATGTCCTGCTGATGCAGAGAAACTTCCTCCAGGGAGAAGATCTCACACTCATTGTGCTCGGCGCGCCGGCGGATCAAATCCTCTGTGACTGAAACAGATTTCCCTTTGAACGTCATCTGAACCCGTTTCTAATAAAAACGTCTTCTCAGCAGGTCAGGAGGTGTTGGGGAGAATCAATGCTGCAGGCTGGTTTAACCTGCTTCGCTCAATCTCTAATCACAAATTATTCAATCAATACTAATTTATAGTAGATGCTAATTAGAAAAATAAAACTAAATAGTCATGTGTGTTGTTAAACTTGGTTTTAAGTCGGTTAAAAACAGGATCCTGATGACCTGAAATAGTCAGGTTTTTTTTTTTGTTAAGTCACGTGACTTAAAGTACTTTTTAAAAGACGAAAACTCAGAGCAATCCTGTCCCACATAAATAAACTTCTTATTTTTAGCACCATAAAAATAACACTATATTTAATTTAGCAATGTAGTCAAAGTAAAGAGGAGTTTGGGTCTTTTCATATAAAACCTGGAAAGAAAAATCCACCTGACCCCCCTCAGAGTCAGCTGATTTTTGTATAATACATTTATTCAAAGATTTAACGTCGAGTTATGGATATTTAACGACTGACAGGCCCTTAGAGTACATAAGAGTGGGCTGAAATTTGGGATTTTTTCATTTAAAAAAAATCTAAATTTTTATTAGATTCATCAGAAACTTTCAGGGTTAAAAAAAACACATTTAAGCTGCAACCAAATCAACTTTAAACCCAGTATTACAATCTTGATACCTGCTCCTGTTCCCTGTAAACATACACCTGTGATGTTTGAGAAACCCAGAACATAATTAAAAAACTCTCTTTCATTCTGAAATATATTTCTAGTCTCCTTTAAGTGTCTTCAAACTATCACAGTATACAAATACTCGAACTGCTGACAGACATATGAATATATATTTTGAATCATTCAGAGAACTGAACTGTTTCTACTAACACAGACTAACACTGGAAATACTAACTACGTTTTCTAACAACATGCTAACTTGAATTTCACCGCCGTGACCGTCCCGTGAGTTCATACCCGGCACAAACCGGTTCAAAGCGGGTTTTAAAACAACAAAAGTTCACGGACAGGCCACAAAACCGGTTATACTGTCAGTTATGAACATTGAAACAACAAATGGTGTATTTTTGCCTCTATTTTTTTCACTTACTGTAAACCATCGTCCTAGCTGTGGCCAACCGTTGCCATGGAAACCAAACAGCCACTGCTGCGTTCGAGTGCTGTGGTAAAATGCACCACTCCAAACGGACTAAATGAAGTCACAGTGTTGACAGTGCTTTTTGAAATTGCCTTATGCTGACTTTAAGACTGTCACGACAGAGGCGCGGATATTCACGAATAGGAATGCTGAGATCTTTTCAGATGTGTGCTGCTGTTTAACTTTGAAATGTGGTTACTTTAATTATCTGAAGAAGCATTTTGCTAGGCTCTTCGACTGTAACTAAAAAAAAAACACGTGTTGTTAATTACTTACCTGGGTAAAGTAAGGCTGCGATGATGATTTACAGCACTATGTTCAACCTCAGTTGATATCTAATCGTAGTACAAAGCCATACTGGGGCATAATGTCAAAGAGCAATAGCTATATTGTTAAAACTGGAACATTTAAAATATTTAAAGACACAAATATACATTAACTATATTTGAATAAAAAGATTATCTAAAAATACGAAAAGGAATCCAACAATTATATCAAAGGTAATATATTTAAGCGGAAATTGGTATTTATAATGTATACGTGAACCTACCACGGCTAGATCTTGATCTTTTATTTTGAAAGTTATGGCGGAAGTTGCTAAAGAGACTACGGATCCGCTCCAAACAAAAACGGTCGGTGCTCCGCAGCATCCATCCTATTTTTCACCGGGTTTGAAAAAACCCTTTCTCGGCGTGAAAACGGGCGGGCCGTCGCTCCTCTGCTGAGTCCACAGCGTTTGTTAATGTCGATTTAATTCGCGGTTCGGCGGCTGGTGTCGTTTCTCGGTGGCTGAACATGACGAGCTATACGGGGTTTCACTCTCAGCTGACGTCCATCATGGAGGCGCTGACCAAAGCAGCGGTGGCGGAGATCTGCGAGCTGGTGGACGACAGCTACGCGGTGCTGCGGCTGGA